TGCTAAGGATATATGCATGCTACATGAAGACCCAGCAATTATCATATATAGTGTGTTTTAGTTTCATTTTTTCTTTTTTTTTAAATATAATTTTTATAAACTAATAGTTATATCTTCCGTATCTCAAATGTGATTTATTCATTCATTCTTAACAAGTTTCCAAAACATGTTATACAATTAACTTGGCCAGAAAACAAAGTAGGGGCTGGGAGCAGACAAAGTGAAGGGCCAAATTAAGCGAAATAGATAATTTCCTCTAGTGGTACGAAATTGGGTAGGGACGTAGGGTGAAAGTGGAGAAGAGATAGGAAGTAAAGGAAAAATTTAATTAGGAAAAAGAAAATGAGATGACGAAGACCCCAAAATTGGCAGCTGCTACCACACATTTTGACTCCTTAATTACTTTGTTTTGGGCAGCATGCACACGTGCACATTGGTTGTTGTTATTTGATGAAGAAATGATTTATGTAAAGTATACATATATGCCGGCACCGTCGGCTTTTCATCCCATACACCTTCCCTATAATTAGAATAGAATCTGCTCAAGTGGCGTTGGTTTCAGTATAAATACAAAGATAACACGAATATATCATTATTTCTGTTTAATATTCTTTATAAAGAAAACAAAATCAAAAGGTGGGATAATGTAGTTTTACTAAAAAATATATATATAACGAAAAAGAAAAGGTGAAAACACTTAATTTATTATTCATTTTTATTGACCAAAATAAACCAATACTCTATTTTGTGCCTCATGCAGTGTCCCCGCGTCCCTCTCGAGATCTCATCCTCTTGGCTCTGGTCGCTATCTATAAATCGTAACAATTCAATTCACCGACAAGCACGTATATCTTCTATGTTTGAATAATATTTCGTCGACTGTCAAATCAGACTTTACACCCTTCAATTATTTGTATATCATTGTTTTTTTTTACTGAGTTGTATATCCTTGTTATTTATGTTTCATTGGGTATCTGGTGGTTAATTTTTTTGCAATATAATATTTACTGGCTTTACTCATAATTAATTTATTTTAAGAAATTTGGTTGGACATTTATAACGAAGTCTCTTCTATCATCCATGTTTTCTTTTGCATAAAGTTCGAAACTGAAACCCTAAGTACAATGATGTTCAGAGCATCGTAATGTTTACGTTCAAAATCCTGTTCGTTTGCTTATTCAGTTGGTTTTATGGATTCGCATTCCCCACTTCTCTTCTGAATAAATAAATATGGAGTTTTGGTGATGGAAATTAATTATAATTGTTATTATCACATAGTGGTAAGTACTACAAAATCATGCATAAGGTGATTTAGCTCAATTTAGTATGCTGTAAAAATCTTTGTAGATTTTTTAATATCGAATTCAACTAGATAAAAAAAATTACTATGATAGTAATACATTATGGTGATCAGATATATATAAGTTTTGATGTCATTTTAAAATAAAATAGTCTAATTCAATTAAAAAATTAGATTGAGAGTTAATTTACTTATATGTATTATTTGAATTATATTATTAGTTAGATGTGGAACTTCAACCAATTATATTCAATATTTATTTAATATTAATTAAATAAAAAAAATATGGCATGCTATTTTTATATTTATATAAAATATTATATATCCTATATTGACTAAATATGAGATCATAATAATATGGGTATATATAAATAGAGAATAATTTTTATTTTTATAAATTAATTTTATAAAAATAAGGTAAACTCCTATCCATTTTTTTATAAAAATCATTTAATTGATAATTAATGAATAACTCTTTTTATGACATAAAGATAAATGAGTTCTTTTTTCAATATTTTTTTGATCTTTTCCTTCCTTATAGCTTTCGGGCTTAAAAGTGGTTGTACACTAGACATTTTCCTTCTCAATAAAGATTTGTAGGTCGTACAGTGACTTATTGGAACGGTATATTGTCACTTAGTACAGCTAGCACACAATATGTGGATCACATAGATAGGATTGATGGGATACATTCATACATTTTGAATGGAAATATTATCTAAAGAGACTTTGATCCTTTTTTTGTCGTCTATGATGAGAATATTGGTTGTACCATCGAGTTGATGATGATTTTAAAGACAAAGTGTAGTTTTAGATGTATGTATCTCAATTAAGCTTTAGAACCATCCTACAAAAGTCAAGCAGTAACGACAACAGCTCAACGCACGAGTGCACAATGGATGGAGATGTGAGATTAAAAAATAAGAGACAAATATTGCGAATTAGCTACTGTACAGTCTAAAATATTATTTAGCTTTAAACACTTATATTTTTTTATGTAGAAGGAAATTTTATTTAGGATAAAATAAAATTTACTTTGTCCTCCAAGAATATGACAAAATTAATTTTAGTTTGAATATTTAAAAAAAAAAAACAATGATTCTCATCTTTATATATTTTTGGCATATGATAGATTTTGCCTCTTAATCAAAATCAAAATAAAGTATGAGGTCAGTGATGAAATTCACCCATTTAAAAATTATGAGAATTAAAGCTACCTTTTGTAAAATATAGGGCCTAAAATTAATTTTGATTACCATGAGAGACTTAAAATGTATTTTATCCTTTTGTTTGTTTATTTTTTAAATGTTTTTCACTTTTATTTTGTACTTTTATCAATTTAATAAAAATACACACCTATTGAAGCTTTTAAGTATTTTAATAAATTGTATTATATGTAAATATAATTTTAT